ATATCAAAAATGTATACGCTTGGACTGAGGCTAAGATGGAAATAGGAGACAGATGTGTTGCAAGTCTCTGGATAAGGATAAAAGGGGTACAAAACAAGGGTGGTGTCATGGTCGGGGTCTACTACAGATTACTAACCAGGAAGAAGAGGTGGATGAGGCTTTTTTTAAAACAAAATCATCCAAAGCACAAGTCTTGGTGGTGATGTGGGACTTAAAACTACCCAGACATCTGTTGGGAAAATAACACAGCAGGGAACAGATTATCCAACAAGTTATTGGAATGTATTGGAGACAATATTTTTATTTCAGAAGGTGGAGAAAGCTACTAGGGGAGAGACTGTTATAGATTTGATTTTGACAAATAGGGAGGAACTGGTTGAGAATTTGAAAGTGGAAGGCAGCTGAGGTGAGAGTGATCATGAAATGACAGAGTTCATGATTCTAAGGAATTGTAGGAGGGAGAACAGCCAAATAAAGACAATGGATTTCAATCAGGCAAACTTTAGAAAACTCAGGGAGTTGGTAGATAAGATCCCATGGGAAGCAAGTCTAAGGGGAAAAACAGTTCAAGAGAGATGGCAGTTTTTCAGAGAGACATTATTAAGGGCACAAGAGCAAATTATCCCACTGTGTAGGAAAGATAGGAAGTATGGCAAGAGACCACCCTGGCTTAACCAGGAGATCTTCAATGATCTGAAACACAAAAAAAGAGTCCTACAAAAAGTGGAAATTAGATCAAATTACAAAGGATAAATATAAACAAATAACACAAGTATGTAGGAACAAAATTAGAAAGACCAAGGCACAAAATGAGATTAAACTAGCTAGAGACATAAAGGGTAAGAAGAAAACATTCTACAAATACATTAGAAGCAAGAGGAAGACCAAGGACATGGTAGCCCCATTATTCAATTTGGGGGGAAAACAATGACTGAAAATGTGGAAATGGCAGAAGTGCTAAATGACTTTTTTGTCTCAGTTTTCACCAAGTTTAGTTACGATTGGATGTCTAACATAGTGAATGCCAGTGAAAATGAGGTAGGATCAGAAGCTAAAATAGGGAAAGGCCTGATGAAATACATCCTAGATTACTCAAGGAGCTGACTGAGGAGATATCTGAGCCATTAGAGATTATCTTTGAAAAGTCATGTAAGACGGGGGAGATTCCAGAGGACTGGAAAAGGGCAAATATAGTCCCAAGCTATAAAAAGGGAAATAAGACCAACCCAGAGAATTACAGACCAGTCATCTTAACTTCAGTACATGGAAAGATAATGGAGCAAATAAATAAGCAATCAATTTGTAAAAACCTAGAAGATAATAAGGTGATAAGTAACAACCGGCATGGATTTGTCAAGAACAAATGTGTCAAACCAACCAGATAGCTTTTTGACAGGGTAACAAGCCTTGAGAATGGGGAAGGGAGGTGGGGGAGTGGTAGACATGGTATATCTTGACTTTAGTAAGGTTTTTGATACTGTCTCACATGACCTCCTCATAAACAAATTAGAGAAATACAACCTAGATGGAGCTACTATAAGGTGGGTGCATAACTGGTTGGAAAACAGTTCCCAGAGAATAATCCATCAGTCAAGCTGGAAGGGCATATTAAATGGGGTCCCACAGGGATCAGATCTGGGTCTGGTTCTGTTCAATATCTTCATCAGTGATTTAGATAATGGCACAGAGAGTAGACTTGTAAAGTTTATGGATGATACCAAACTGGGAGGGGTTGCAAGTGCTTTGGAGGATAGGGGATTAAAATTCAACATGATTTTAAGGGGGGAAGGATAGTTCAGTGGTTTGAGCATTGGCCTGCTAAACCCAGGGTTATGAGTTCAATCCTTGAGGGGGCCATTTAGGGATCTGGGGTAAAAATCTGTCTGGGGATTGGTCCTGCTTTGAGTAGGTGGGGTTGGACTAGATGACCTCCTGAGGTCCCTTCCAACCCTGATATGCTATGAAAAAAAAATTGCACACATACAAAATGGGAAATGACTGCCTAGGAAGGAGTACTGCAGAAAAGGATCTGGGGGTTATAGTGGACCACAAGCTACATATGAGTCAACAGTGTAACACTGTTGCAAAAAAAGCGAACATCATTCTGGGATGTATTAGCAGGAGTGTTGTAAGTAAGACACAAGAAGTAATTCTTCTGCTCTACTCCGTGCTGGTTAGGCCTCAGCTGGAGTATTGTATCCAGTTCTGGGCACCACATTACAAGAAAGATGTGGCCAAATTGGAGAAAGTCTAGAGAAGAGCAACAAAAATTATTAAAGGTCTAGAAAAAATGACGTATGAGGGAAGATTGAAAAAACTGGGTTTGTTTAGTCTGGGGAAGAGAAGATTGAAGGGGGACATGATAACAGTTTTCAAGTACATAAAAGGTTGTTACAAGGAGGAGGGAAGGTGAATTTTTCTCATTAATCCTTGAGGGATAGGACAAGAAGCAATGGGCTTAAATTGCAGCAAGAGAGGTTTAGGTTGGACATTAGGAAAAACTTCCTAAGTGTCAGGGTGGTTAAGCACTGGAATAAATTGCCTGGGGGGTTATGGGAGGTCCAGAGAATACGTAGTCCTGCCATGAGTGCAGGTGACTGGAGTAGATGACCTCTCAAGGTCCCTTCCTGTCCTACCATTCTATGATTCTACATCTAAGAATACATCAATCACAAGCCCCCACCTAGGACCAAAGGGGTTTTGAGCTGAGTCACTGGAGGCTGCAGCAATTTGAGAGTCACAGTGGTAATTTCATCTGGGGGGAACATAACAAAAGTATTGGGGGGTGGGGGGCATGAGGCATGTGAATGCTTCTTGGTAGGGGAGTGGTATTAGGGGTGTAGAAGTAGTGGAAGGGGCTTGGGGCTTCAGCAAGGGGAGGGTGGCCGCTCTGGGTCGCTGCCTCTGTGCAGCGCAGCGTCTGCCTGGAAAAGCCCGTCTGGGGAGGTGGCAGTGGCCCACCCCCTGTGCTCCCTGCCCAGGCCTGGCTACCAGGGAGTGGGGCCGAGCAAGCCAGAAACATGCCGGGTGGAGGCACAGCAGGAGAAGGACAGAGTCTGCCTCCCCTCCCCGCCCCCCCCGCAGGTAACTCTGGCCGGAAAGTGTTGGGGGGTCACTGAGGAAGGCACCAGCAGCAGGTTCCCTCTACTCAGTCCAAGCTAGGGGCATTGCCTGCGCACCTCCCCTTGCTGAGGTGTCTGTGAGGGTGCAGGAGCTCTGGGGAGACACTGGCGTGCTGTGGGTCTGGCCCAGCCTGGCCCAGAAGAATGTTCCCCACTCCTGTGGCCCCAGCCCTGGCCCAAGGAGGTGGGCTTGGAAGGTTCCTCCCAGAGGCAGCGCATGGAGCAGTCATGTGCCTCCCCCACCTTTACATTGTGTCTCCCGTCTCCCAGTATAAGCAAGTATGAGTTGTCTCTGCCAACCACTGCCTCCACCTTCTAGTGGAGGCACACCTAACACACTGACTGCACCTGGCACGTATGCAAATAATTCCTATTGGCTACTGCCAGCTCCAGGAGAACAGAGGGTAGGTGGCATGGACATATTGTTAAGGTGGCTTTGTGGTTTTGTTCTTTGATAGTGTTTGAGGGAATCCTGTGGGTGAGAGTGAATGGGCTGGAAAAGGAGGTGAAGAATTTGTACATTTCAGCATCTGTGAGGTTGGCAGAGTAAGAGGGTGTGTGTTACTGGTCACATTGGGGCATTGCTGAAAGAGGGAAGAGCTAAGGTTGCCTAGGCATTTCCTGGTTTTCAGAAGTTTGAGTTTTGCTCAACTCAACCTTTTGCAAGGGGACGACATACCCCCAGGTCACCTTCACTCTGTGTTAATTGTAGTTTGTTGCCATTGAATTCTATATAAGTTTATGGGCCAGCCATATCACCATAGTATCTGAGCACTTTCCAATTGTGCATTCAGCTAAGTAAATAACATGTGTCACGTGTGGTTCCTTCTTTCACTCATCTCCATCCTACCGAGAGAAACGGTGTGTGCCTTGTAAGGTTTTGGTAGGGATTTTTTAATATATACATACTGCTCTGTGTTCAAGCAGGCAGGTTGAGGAGAGTGGAGTTGTCGACCACAGTCCTCATGCCGGAGCCTTAGGTAATCTTTTAGATATGTTGGGGTTCAGGACTTTGAGCACCTTGAAGATAGGGACCAAGACCTTGAACTTGTTTCAACATTCTATGGGAAGCCAGCCAGGCCTCGTGAACTTTTCATTCATTACAACAGACTAAACACATTGCAAACTGACCAAGCAGAGTATTTTACTTTAAAATAATCAAATCTGACCTGTGCAGTTTCCTCTCTTTCTGCCATTATTTAGTACTGGAGGTGATTCAAAACCAAATCACCTGATCAGAACACCATTGAAATCTGGAAACATCGGAATCCAGATCTGGACTTTGCAACTGACAGCTGTCTTTTAAATGGGCTGCACCAAGGCCTAGATTCAAATGCTCTTGAACTTTTAGGAATGTTGACATCCAAATCCAGATCTGAACTTGGCAACTCTGGCCCATCCCTGTTTCATAATAGCAATGCATTTATTCCTCTGGTTTCTCCAGTAATGCACATCTTTATTTTTCAGCTGTGTAAATGTACTGAAGTAATTCAGATTTCAGACTAGAAAGCGAATGAACACAAATGTAATATATTAGTGGGTTATGTGGTATATGTTTTATTTAGTTTGTATTATTCGGGCATAAACAGAAGGCCTCCTAAAAGATCATTTTAAAATTGTTTTTACGCTGTACACAGCTCTTCAAAATGAAAATGCAAATATACATTGTAAGAGAATACGCCACAGATTTACATTCCTGGTCAAGCAGATGCTTCATTATGAAGAGACATCTCTGAAGGGTTTGTTTTCCCAACTATATAAAGCTGTGTTGTCTATAGGAGATACACAGACAAGAAGATAGTGCATCTGTCAACCACATTCCAACAGTAAAACGTTGCATGACGAATGTTTATTTCGGAGCCAGAACTTTCTTAAAGAATGGGGGACAATGATTGTAACTTCGTAAAAGAGGATGACATCACTAACTCAAGTATAATTGTCCTAGTAATCTTAGTATGTGAGGCTTTTGTCGGGATGTGGATAAATTCTTTCATTATGGCTGTGAATTGTGTTGAATGTGTCAAGCAGAGGTGCCTGTCTTCAACTGATAATATCTTGGCTGTCCTGGCATTCTCAAGATTTTGCTTCTTGCTCAAAACAACTTTACAGACTTTTTGCTCAACATTTTACCCAGAGATCTATTACCTGCACTCCGTGTTCCAAGCATTCAGAGCGGTCACCTGGTTTTTGAACTCGTCCAATCAATGGTTCGCTGCCTGCTTGTGTGTATTTTACTGTGTGAAAATTGCAAACTTCAGCCACCCCCTCTTCATCTGGCTAAAATTTAAAATCTCCAGGCTGGTGCCATGGTTGCTCCTGGGATCTGTGCTTTTCTCCTTGTTCAGCAGCCTCCCTTTCCTTAATGCTATTTACAAAATAGAGTGTAATGATTTCAATTCCAGCCTCAAAAGACATTATAATGCGAAAAATGTCACAGTGGAAACATCTGTGTCTCAAGTACTTTCTATCTGTGGCACTGGATTTTCCATGGCGTTCACCATATTTATCATTTCAGCCTCTCTGTTGTTGTTCTCTCTCTGGAGACACACACAACAGATGCAAAACAACTCAAGTAGTTTCAGGAGCCCCTGCATGGAGGCCCACATTCAAGCAATGAAAACTATCGTGTCTTTCTTCCTCATCAATATTGTTAACTTTATAGCTTTGCTGACCTTGTTGACGAATATATATCAAGAAACATCTACTGCCAGCATTGCTTGTACAATCATTGTAGATGCTTGTCCATCAGTACATTCCACTATCTTGATTCTGAGCAATCCCAAACTGAAAAAAACATTGATTAAAGTTCTGCATTATGCAAAGTGCAAGAGATGAGTAGGAGACAGAACATCATAAAATCTACTTTTGTCCTTCAGATGGAATCCATTAGAAGAAACTCAGGCTTTTCTATTAAAAAAACAATTTAATCTAGGGTCTAAATTCTCTGCTGGTGTGAAATGCCACAGATCCATGTGTCTTTCAGCTCAATTGTTCTCCCAAGTCAGTATATTTAGAAGAAACTTAATTGAAAGCAATTGAGCTGCAGTGATGTAAAACGAGTGTAAATGAAAGGATAATTTAGGCACCTATTTTAATATGTCTCCTGGTATGTGGTTTGCTTTGGTGTTTTGAAAAGACTTCTAGCTCAATGGAGGAATCTGGGAAATAAAAAAATAATCTTTCCAGAAAATAATTTTGTTGTCTCTCACTTCAGCTGATTGTACCTTGAATTTCCATGGACATATGGGGCTGCTTCTGATTTCATTATGGAAATATATTTTTGACTTCTTACAGGATGAATTTCCTGTCTAAAAGACTGCAAGTACCAGGTGATATATCATGGCAAGTATCCCACTTTACTGCAAAACAGTTTCCCAAGAGAAGTGGTGGAAATCCCATTGCTTTGAAGCACTTAAAACTGGACTGGACAACTCACTAGAAAATATATCTCAGAAAACAATGAAGCATTGTCAGGAACTAGACTAAGTGATTTAATAAGGCTTTTCCATCGCTAATTTGTACATCTTTATGATCCTGTGATCAAAGGCCACTTAATTTTGCTCATCTCATGTACTTAATATTTCAACATTATCTTGCATTTATGAAGTCCCTTTGAGCCAATGAAACTTAAATGCTTTTGCTGTGTACAGTCCTGCGCTCTAAATTGTCCAATGTAAGAAAAGTCCAGCTCAGTCGGTTACATAAAATTATTTATAAAAATCAGCAAAAATTTAAGACAAAAAGAGCACCCACGGACTGTGTTGAGATCATATCTCATGAACAAGAGCAGTGTAGGACTAGAAATCAATGGACCAAAACAGGTATCCTGGATATTTTCTCCACCATTTAGGTCAAATTATGAGGGAATAGGATATTTCACTCGTCACTCCCTTTTGGGGTCCTTAAAAAAGGCTTCAAGGGAAGAATCAAGTCAGCTGGCTGGGAATGAGCTTCCCGAGCCTTCCCCCACTATCTTCTGGGATCCATTGTGACATCTTTGGACCTTCACTGCCTTGATCCTGAGAGATGTCCTGCCCAGTCCTGGCCAGAAAGAGACCCAGATGGCATCAGTACTTCAACCAGCTCCTGCTAAATCCCAAAAGCCACCTGAAATGTAAGACTTTGGTTCCTGCTGTCACCCATCTCCCATTCATGTGCCCTTTTCCTCCCTCCCCCCTTTTTTTCTTCTCTTTCCTTTTGCCTAGAAAGAGTCTGGCTTAGCCAGCCAAGACCTTCTCTTCCTACACTGCTGTGGGCCCATGACCAGAGAGGCAGCTAAAACAATGCCCTACACAGTCTGATGCTGGTACAAGTTTGACAAGTTTTGGAGCAGCTAATCAGATCATGTACTGTGGGGGCTGTGTTTCTCCAGCAGCAAGGCTGCAGGTAAGAAGCAGTACTAGAGACAGAAGCTGCATTTTCTATCTGGGCTGATCTTTCCTTTCACCCTTTGTGTCTGTTGCTCTTGTTTTGTCTTCAGGGAAACAGGATCAGATTTTAGCAACAGTAATGACAACAGCTCCAGCCCATCTCAACTAACATCACTTTTCCCCAAAAGGGGCAGTTATTGCCATCTTTAATACCATCTAAAAGATTATCAGACAGGCCTAGTGCCCAAGGGTAGGTCTACACTTACCTCCGGACCCGGAGGTAAGCAATCGATCTTCTGGGATCGATTTATCGCGTCTTGTCTAGACACGATAAATCGATCCCGGAAGTGCTCGCCGTCGATGCCGGTACTCCAGCTCGGCGAGAGGAGTATGA